TTTAAAGAGGGCAAGAGGTAAACAAAGAAATATGAACCACAGGCAGGGCGCCTTTAGGTTATGGTCAGATTGTGGAGTAAAAGCAATAGGAAGTCGTGAACAAAATATTACATCAAAATCTGTCAGTTGGTAGTTTCTTAAAAATTGTTACAATATGGAATCTGAGACTGCATCAACAAACTGTCTATACTCTATTACATTAATACCTATTGTTCTATCTTGCACTTTGAATGAATCTTTTACACTTGATTTTGTAATATGCAAGCATTGGTCATTTGGAAAAAATTGGTTCACTGAGTATATAAAACTCCCAAAATGTTAAAATATTCCATTACGTACAATATTTTTTAAAAATCACATTTGTTAAAATCATAACTGATCTCAGCGGAAATTCTTTAAGTACTGGTATGTTATCAAGCTCATGGTTATTTTTGAGAAAATGTCTGCAAATATCCAAGTCTGAATAGCCAGTTGTCTTTTCAAGTAAAAATGAACATAATGAAGCTGCTAATCCAGCTTGCAACTTAATCGTACAAGTGTTTTTTCAGTACTCAGCACACTTTATACATACTTCCCATTTCATCATATAGGATAATTAAAAAGCATGCATTCAAAAGTCAAGATTTATAAAACTAATAATTATTTTCAATGCATCATCAAGGACACTATTAAGTGAAACTGGTATTTATTTATTTTTACTACAAGTGGATTGCAGTAAAGAAAATCACTATTAGTAGTTTGATGTCACTGCCTTGATTTGTGCTGAGTCAGCAGTTCCATCCACTATTGCTTTTGCACCATTAGTGCAAATATCAAGACAATAAATAAGGCAAATAATTTCTAAATTATTATAAAAATAGTTTTGTTTTCTGTGACCCCTTCTCAGGATTCCACAGACCACACTTAGAACTGCTGCCTCAGGAAGATTGAGGTGTATTACTTACTAGCTTGTGATCTTAGGCAATTCACTAAACTTTTTTTTAAAAAAATATATATTTTATTGATTTTGTACAGATAGGAAGGGAGAGAGATAGAGTTAGAAACATCGATGAGAGAGAGTCATCGATCAGCTGCCTCTTGCACACCCCCTACTGGGGATATGCCCGCAACCAAGGTACATGCCCTTGACCAGAATCGAACCCGGGATCCTTCAGTCCCCAAGCCGACGCTCTATCCATTGAGCCAAACCGGTTTCGGCTCACTAAACTTTTTAATGAGTTGTATAAAAAAATAATTATCCCCCATCAAGTTGTTAATCAGCGTTAAGACAGATGAAAGCATTTTGTACACCATCATAAAAATGTAAGAGCTCATTGATACATATAATGAATGATATCAGTATTTTAGTAGATACCACTGACATTATCCTAAACAACCTTATGGAGACCACATTTTATATGTTTTTGCTTCTGCTATTTTTGCTTCTAGCAATCTTTACACTTTTATCTTAATTCAGACCCTTACAAACATAGATGTAAGAATAATTTGTTACTCATATATACATCTTAATGCACCCAATATCTATATGTAAGATTATCTATCCCCACTCCACCCTGAGCAGTCAAAGTTGTCTAGGTCTCTCCCTGGAGTATGTCTGAATATGTTCTTTGGATTCAGCTGAATAATGCCTGATTGTATTCATTTGTTTCTCTCTCCTGCCAAAATTGGTCTTACCCCTTATACTTACTGAAATACCATCCCGATCCTTAAGAGTCCAATTAGTCAATCTCCTGGATACCCAGATAGGCTAACTAACTCTTCTGAACACCTGACACTCAGTGCCTTGTTACCTGACCTCTCTCTTGTACTTGTTCTTCCTTAATTAGACAGTAATCTCTCTGAGGGTAAATATATCTTACATTTCTCTTTATTCCCCTTCAGCATTTAATAGCATAGCTTGTTCAGCCTGGATCACGGCCCTATGTGTACTCTGCTAGTATCAATGAAGCATCGACCTTCATATCCAAATAAAGACCTTTACAGAGCCAAAATCTGTAACTCTTGTCATATGTAATTTTCAGACAATGTTTTATCTATGAACCTCACTCAACTGATAGGACAAGTTGTTCACTGTAACAGCTTAGAGTGCAATTATTTACTGCATGGGCGAATTGTACTCCTCAAAGTGCCCAAGGTGTGGCTCTGAGAGAAAAACAAATACACAATAATGTATATTAAGATAAATAAGTAGATCTAAGATAATGTTTGTTTACAAAGAAAAGTAAGAAGTCTAAAAATATCCCTTATTTCATACACACAAAAATACAGCGCATTAGCATAAAAAACTACCTGAAACAAGTCACTTGGACTGAACCAAGTTAAAAAGCATAAATTCAAGATGCAAGTTATTCAAGAGAAACACTAGCCATGAGTTACAGCATTTATTATGCAAAAAATGAAGAAAATAGACAACAAAACCAAAGTAGAAGCTTTGTACTGAAAGAGCAACAGCAATTGAGAGGAGGTACTGTCAAATGATTAAAAAGTGCATGGGCTCTCATATCAGAATGAGTGGGATTCAAATCCTACTTCAGAAACTGTATGAAATTAGTAAAACCACAAAATCCTTCTATGCTTCGGAGCCCTTACCTACAAAATGGGTCGTTATTATCTACCTAATAGGTTGTGGATCAGAAATAATACAGAGCAATAAAAAGCACAGAAATCTATGTCACAACAGAAATCTAACACAATACCAAAGGAAAATTTTGCTAAGTTTTTTATTCCAAAAATGCACTATTATCAAAGGTAATACAATTTTGTTTTCAAATAAGAGGTATATTACATATCTGGAACCTTTGTAGTCAGATGGGTCTGGGTTAGAACAGACTATACTTTTATTAGCTTAGGGTAATTTAAGCCTCAGCTGTCTTTTTTGTAAGATAGGTGTAATACTGCCGCCTCAATGCTCTTGTGAGGATAAATAAAGCAATGTGTATAACTATTCTATACAGTCTTTAAAAAAATATATATATATATATATATATACACACACATATATATTTTATTGTTTTTTACAGAGAGAAAGGGAGAGAGAGAGAGAGTTAGAAACATCAATCAGCTGCCTCCCGCACAACCCCCACTGGGGATGTGCCCGCAACCAACGTACATGCCCTTGATCGGAATCGAACCTGGAACCTTTCAGTCCACAGGATGATGCTCTATCCACTGAGCCAAACTGGTTTCGGCTCTATACAGTCTTAAAAGTACACCCAATAAATGCTCAATAACTTGTCCCTACCAGATATATGTAAATACTAGAGGCCTGATGCATGAAGATTTGTGCAAAATGGGCCTTCCTTACCCTCTATGCTGGCACCGCCTTCACTCTGGCTGGAGCCACCTTTCCGCCTTCCCACACTGCCCAAAGGCCCCAAGCAGCTGGGGGCAGTGCAGAACACCTGCGTTGTCACCATGGTGCTCACCATGGTGCTCAGTGCCTGCATATGCAAATTAACCCACCATCTTTGTTGGGTTAATTTGCATACTCAAACTGGTCTTACAGCTGATACACCCAATCTATATATGATTAGTCAATTAAGAGTTAAATACTAGTTCATTAATTAGTCCAATTACAAATTTTCTAGAATAATTCAGAGAACAAAAGCAGGGATAAGTGTAAATTGCTTGCTAGTAAAGAGAAAGCCCAGAAACAAGGAAACACTAAATGAGAGGATAATTCCATATTAAAACATATAAACTATTCACAGTATAAAGTCACAATCCCTAAATTGTATGCTGACTTGTTAATATAGTCATTTACTATTTATTTTTCTCCCAAAGACAAAGTCAGACATAAATGTAATTCTTCCCCACAACTACCCTCCATATTAAGCCATCCTACCTGCAGCTATCTTAGTCCTTGGCCAATTTCATTAGGTTACAGGGGAAGAATTGATTTCATCAGTTCTTCAGTTATTTTGAAAATGCAAGCATTAAGAAACTGTAGCAAAGCCGAAATCGGTTTGGCTCAGCGGTAGAGTGTCGGTCTGCGGACGCTCTAGTATTTACATATATCTGGTAGGGACAAGTTATTGAGCATTTATTGGGTGTACTTTTAAGACTGTATAGAGCCGAAACCAGTTTGGCTCAGTGGATAGAGCATCATCCTGTGGACTGAAAGGTTCCAGGTTCGATTCCGATCAAGGGCATGTACGTTGGTTGCGGACACATCCCCGGTGGGGGGTGTACAAGAGGCAGCTGGTCAATGTTTCTCTCTCATCAACGTTTCTAGCTCTTTATCTCTCTCCCTTTCTCTCTGTTAAAAATCAATAAAATATATTAAAAAAAAAAAACACAAAAAAAAACTGTAGCAAACATTTCATTTCACTGTGCTGTAGAGCTGGAGCTGCATCCTGGTTCTCAGAAACCAGTCACCTGTCTGTGTGTGTGTGTTGTTGTTGGTTTTTTTCTGAGGAGTTATGCACGTACAGGGTTAATAAAAAATGAAGAGGGTAACAAAAGGAATTAAAAGGTCTGTCTTCCACAGCAGAAGGAAACACTGTTATCAGTTTCTTGAATATTTTGCCCATTCACAAACTAAATTAAGTCAAAGAAAATGGTCAGTTCTAACACTGGCAAGTGGAAAAGAAATAAAATCCCAGGATTTGTTAGATTGTTTTATTTGAAAACTTAGGGGTGCACATCCAAGGATTTTAATAATAACCTGAGTACAGAGCCTTTCCTTTTGTTAAAAAAGTCAAACTATGTCACAACAGAAATCTAACACAATACCAAAGGAAAATTTTGCTAAGCTTTTTATTCCAGAAATGTACTATTAACAAAGGTAATACAATTTTGTTTTCAAATAAGAGGTATATTACATATCTGGAACCTTCACCACCTATCCATCCGCTTCGATAACTTTAGATCTTCAGTTTGAAGGGAGAGTGGGAGTGGGTAATATGTACAATTTTGTGGGGGGGTGGGAAAAAGCATAATTTTTTTTCATGTCACTCTCTTTAAAGCATTGCATCTAATTTCATATGCTCCCAACTTACCTTTTCATTTTTCTTATCTGTCTCTAATGGCTGCTTTGCTGTTACACTTCGAGGAGTTCGGACAACTTCCTCCTCAGCCACTTCAACAGTCCGTCCATTTGGCTGCAAAAAAAAAAAAATAAAAGAGACGCTTGTTATCAAATTGCTTGGCAGATTAAACCAAAGATTTGTACTCAGAAAAAAGAATATACTACAATAAAATTTTCCCCCAACTCGAATTAAAAAGATTTCTGCTTGGCTGTAGTGACTTAGTTGGTTGAGTGTTGTCCTGTGCACAGAAAGGTGGCTGGCTCGATTTCTAGACAGGGCACATCCTGGGTCTCGAGTTTGATCCCCCATTGGGGCATCTATGGAAGGCAACTGATTGATGTTTCTCTCTCACATGGATGTTTCTCTCTCTCTCTAAGCATGTCCTTGGTTTAGGATTAAAAAAGAAATAGATTTTTGTATAGCTATGTTATGTAATACTTGATAAACCATTTACTAACCTAATAACTGTGTTTTATAATATAACAATAAATTTATAAACAAAATTCTGTACCACAAATCTATTTTCTGACCTCACCCAGGTATCAGTCCCTTGAACAAAAAATAATAAAAATCAGGAAAAAGAACTCAACTATATTTGCACTCTGACCACTAATCACCAGTGTACTCTCAGAATATTTCACTCATTATCCTTTTTTCTACATCTATAAAATGATAGATCTGATCTATCCTAAAGCCACCCAACTTTTTCAGTAAGGGGCCAGACAGAGCCACAGATGGCACATAAATGAATGGGTATGACTATGTCCCTCCAAAACACAGGTGGAGGGCCAGATCTGGTCCATAGACCATAGTTTGTTGGCCTCTCTAATAGGTAATCCCTAATTACCTGTAATTCTATAATTTAATGGTGCTATTGTTCTGGGATTAGAAGCTTTTACAAACCTACTGCCATAGTTTAAAAAGGTTACTTTAGCTTTCCTGACACTCTTAAAATAAAGTGATAGCACTTAAAAGGTGTTCATGAGTAGAATTAGTATGTGAATACCAATTTTGGCTTCTAATCATAATCACTAGTTTTGTTTTGCTTCTTAAATAAGCATTTCTGAGCCCACTCTCCCCTATTTATATTCAGAAATTTGAAGAATGGGACCCAGGTATCTAACTCTTCTTTCTAGATACTACTACTTTTTTTCATTTGCCCATTCTCCTCATATTCAAAACAGTAAGTTAGTAAATAAAGTAAAAAATCAATATACTAATTTCAATTGCTTTCCAGTTCTGCAGAATAGACTTCTATCAGATTACTAATTATAGAAGAGCTATACTCAAGAAAACAACATGAATGTTCACTTTCTATAATGTGACATTATCTACATTTGTAGAAAATTATCAGGAACTAAAGGCCTGGTGCACAAATTCATGCACCAGTGTGGTCCATCAGCCTGGCCTGCGGGATCGGGCCAAAACTGGCCCTCTGACAACCCGAGCTACCCCGGATTGCAAGAGGGCACAGGCCAGGCCAAGGGACCCCACAGGTGCACTCGGGGCTGGGGAGGGACGCGGGAGGTTGGCCAGCTAGGGAGGGACTATGGGAGGGCTCCAGAGCGTGTCCGGCCTCTCTTATTCAGTTCCGATTGGCCAGACCTCAGCAGCAAGCTAACCTACCAGTCAGAGCATCTGCCCCCTAGAGGTCAGTGCACATCATAGTGAGTGGTTGAGCAACCTTAGCATATCATTAGCATATTATGCTTTGGTTGAACAAACGACCAGACGACAGGACACAGCATATTAGGCTTTTATTGTATAGGATATGCAATTGGAAAAAAGAGACCATTAATACGCTAAAGCCCAATTTATAAACTTCCCATAGACTTATAGCAGAAAAAAAATCAAAACAAAAGCTGTCTTTTAGCTGATTAAATTCCTAATTAATCCAAATTTAATCTGCTGGATCATAAGCAACATTAATAAAAGCCCTCAGATTTTAGAATCTCCTTTTGGAGGAAAGCCAGCTCTTCAATTGTTTACAAGGTAATTTGATTTGTAAAAATTCTCTGTATGTGTGTGTTACCCCTTTAAATCTTGGCTAATACAATCAGACAGACAGAAAGCGTGAGTGAGGACCATTTTTTCTTGCATCTACACTGGAATCTAAGCACCAGACTGTAACTGCGTCAGGTCTGTCAAATAGATGCATTTTAAACAACTTGTTAAAGTCAGGCGGCTAATGGCACAGCCAGGTCTCCTCACTCTTCCTTCTAATTTTCTTTCTTCTGTGCTCTTTTGCCATTTCAATGCTGCCTCTTTTAATCTCTGAGTACTATATATATGTGGGAGGGTGCTGGAATTGGGAGGAGAGGCAGCGCACAAAGAAAGGTAAGCAGCTCCAAAAAGGAGTTTGGACTTAGAGCCATATCCACATCAGGAATATATATATCAGGAATATAAAACTATAATTCTGCTTCCCAATAGCACCATCTTACTTGTCAGTTTTCATGCTATTTCTCAGTTCATACTATCTTCTCTAGTCAAGCCTACTTTTTCTGATTTCCTGTGGTCAGCCTTGCCAACTGAACTGTCTTGCAGCTCCAACTGAAGTTTCCCACCTCATTTACTGGCAGCTCACAAAGCTTACATCTGCAAACACTTCATTTAACTAATCCCTTCAGGAAACTTTTCATCATAGTCACTTATATAGCACCTCCATTTCACTCATGACAATGACTGCACTGAATCATTTAAATTTACTTACTAACTGCTAAAAGATGAGAAATTAGGTGGTTAAAAACTATCTTAACCTATTAAAATATTCAATGCAATTCTTTTGAGAAAAACTGTGAACACTGTTCTTTCAGCTTCCCAGGTAAAAGATGAAACAATCTTTCCTTTTAAACAAATATCAAGTCTGAAGTACTCAATCAGTGAAAAGCAGCGGGAACACTGTTTCCATCCTGGAATGATAGGCAAGCCAAAACTATGCCAATTTTACTTTCTTCTTTGCAACATCAACTTATGTAAAGGCTATAAAAAGAGTGGGACAAGATTGTTCCACAAGTGTTAACCATAGCTCATGTGGAAGCACTGGGTTGTGAAAATGTTAAAGAACTGAAAAAAGGTCATTATAGTTGGAGGTAGCAAATAAGAGGAAACAATTGCAAAATCCACTTAGAAAGAAAAGGAGACGCTAGGCCATATACAAAAAAGTTTAGATTTAAAATGCAAAAGCTATCGAAATGTTGGTTTTAAACAAGATCAAGTGATTTGTTTTTAAAGACTCCTTACTAGGGTGCTGAGAAAAGATTGGAGGCAGTCAACAGAAGCTACTTGTAAGCTAAAGTGACAGACAGTAAAGTAAGTAGTCAAATTGAATATATATTTTAGAGGTAAAATTGATGGTACTTGCTGATGAATTAAATTATGAGAAGACACGAGGATGTGAGGAAATGGGAAGAATCAAGAATGATTCTGAGTTTTGGCAGGAAATTATGAATTGTTTGGGAGATGTTAAAATTTGAGACAAATGTCAGCTTTCCAACTGAAGATACCAAGTACACATTTAGACATTAGGTTTGAAGATGAGAGGAATGGTCCAGTTACAAGTATTGACTAATATACAGTTGATCCCCATTATCCGTGAATTCCATACAGGCAAATTTGTCTACTCCCTAAAATTTAATCCTAACCCCAATACTTGAGGTGCTTTCCTGATCATTTTGTGGACACACACAGCTTTAAAAATAAATCTTTTAATAGAAGAAAATAATATAAATAAAGAGATGCAGATGTCTAGCATGGGGGAAGAGTAAGAGATGAGACAGATCATGAAGAGCCTTGAGTGCCATGACATAGGTTGGATTTTATTCAAAAGGTGATGGGGAAACTACTGAAAAGATGTGAACATGAAAGTCACATGATTACAGTTGGGCTTTAAAAAATTTAACTGACATGAGTGGGCACAATGGATGGCAACAGAAACCGAAAGCAGGAAAACTAGTTAGGATCTGTTAGGACAGTCGAAGCAAAAGGTAACAAAGCCCAAATATAGGGTAGTAGCAGTGAAACTGGAAAGGAAATAATAACTATAAAAGATATTGCATACTATTAGAATGATCTATTGGTTACAAATAGATGGACCTTACAAAATTTTAACCCGATGAGGCAAAAAATGGTTCATATGACTGTTTACCAGGCATGAAGAATAGGAATAATTGTTAAATGCCAGTTATCTGAGATCTCTCATCCATCTAAACTGCTCAGATTAAATCAAATTCTTGAGTGCCCGTTTAATACTGACATTGAGCTAGATGTCATGGAAAATGCATGTAAGATAACAATGATTTCCAAAAATACCATGAACTAATAAGCCCAGTGAAAAGAGCCCCTTCACTTTTAAATAAACTGCAATTCATGCCCCAAGAGACCTATAGTAAGATATTAGAAGATAAAAAGCAACCTAATATAATAATTAAAAAAAAAAAACACCCCACCACTCATGACTCTAAAAATAAAAACCTACTAGAAGTAAATTCTGAAAATGTGTATTGCAAAATTTGGAATGATTTAAGAGAAAATTAAAAATAATGGGGAGGGGGAGAAAATAAAAACTGGTTTACATAACTGAATCCACTTGAAGTGTACCCTAAAATGCCCTTCAGAATGACACAGTAATAAAGAAATGGATAAGATTAAATCTGAGTGAATTTAGAAACCTCTTATGCTATACAGTTCTTATGGCCCTATTCCAATGAGTGATTTTCAAACTAACAGGCAAGGATTTGCCAATGGGGCTTGTTAAACATGCAGATTTTCTGGATCCATTCAGAAAATTTGAATTTCTAAGATCTGTGGAGAGGCTCAGGAGTCTACAAATGTTAACCATTCAAAGGGACTCTACTGCAAGTAGTCAGGGGTTAACACTTTGAGGAATCCTGCAGTGTTTTAACTTAACTAAGACCTTGAATTTATAAACAAGATAAGCTAAACAGAGCAAGGTTAAATGCCTTATTCAAGTTTAGAGTTCCCCTTCTCTGCCAGGCTGACAGAACTGGGCCTTTGCTGATTCTTCAGCTTCCCCCACTACCCTGCTCCTACCCACTTTCAAAGTCAACTATGTCTTTCTTTCACTGCCACCTGGGCCCACAATGGGGTTGCACTGTTAATTTTTCTGAGTATATCTTTTTCACAACTGGAGTCAAAAGCTCCCTAGGGAGAAACCGAGCTTTTACTCTTATATCCCTTCACAGAGAAATATCAATACTGTATTCCTTTTCACAGGAATTTGCAAACAGAATCCTGCTTTTGTCCAAAGTGTATGAGTACTTAAAAAAAAAAAAAAAAAGGCAATTTCTACTTCTTAGCCCTATAAAGCAGTGTTTTCTAATTGTAGGTCATGTCTCATACTCACACGTGAAACCAGTTTAGTGGGTCACAAATATCATTAAAGAAAAACAAACAGAATAGTGAGATATGTGTATGGGAGGGTGTTGTAATGTAAATATATTTCTTAGTAGGTTGAAGTAAAAAAAGTTTGAAAGCCAAAAGTTTGTAAATGTTGACAAACTCCAAGACTCATTTTTTTAGACAGGCAAAGATATTTTTTCACCCAATTAACATTCAACCATTTGTTTTTTCTTCCCATTCTCCACTTCCCAACGTTGACAGATCTGTTTCCTCATTCCCCCTTCCTTTATTTAAATGAGAAGGGATATGCCCTGGGTCTGATGAGCTTTTTCACAGGAGACTGACTGTGTTCTTCAGATGAGTCATCTGAGTGTTAGATGCTCTCCAGACGGGATCTGAGAGCACCTGTCTCTCAAGGCTAGTCTATCTGCAATTTCAGGCGTCCCAACAGGGCTTTGAAATTTTCACAACCTGCTTCGTCCACACAGGGATGAGGCTTATTAGTACATGTGGGTGTTTTTTTCAAGATCATCTTTCTTCAACTTGGGGTCAGATTCTCCATTTCCACCATAACCTTACTTTCTGGTAATCCTTGATGTTCTCTACAAATTTAAATATAGCTCCATATGCTCCATATAAGTACTATTTTCTAACTTAAGTTAGTATTGCTACTGACAAAGCTGTACCCCTTTCTAGGTTGTGTATGTCTCTGGCACTCTCTTAATCAGCATGCAAAATGTTAATATTTATCTAAGCCTAACAATGCCCTGTGACCTGTCAGGTCTCTAATACAGCTTACTCTTTGTACTATCATTACTTTAGCTTGAATTCAAATCCCACTTCCTCTAATAACTTTCCTAAATTCTTCCCCAGGAATTAGCTCCCAACCTCCAAACCTCATTAACACCGCTCACACGTACACAGCACCTGTCCGTTTGTGCAATATTAGAATTATGAACCTGTCTCCTACATTAGACTCCATGATTGACTCTAAAACCTCGATGTATATAGCTCCTACTGTCCCCCAAATACCAGAGTGAATTTCACATAGGAGTGAGGGCCTTGGCTACATCTGCTTTATTGCATTTGAAAAGGTGAAGAGCTTAATTCAAGTGGACATAAACAGAGGCTAGGCGCGGGTTCTAGTTCTGCACACCCCTTCATGCTCTTATTGCTCCGCTGCAAAGTATTTTTTAAAAAATATATTTTATTGATTTTGCACAGAGAGGAATCGAGAGGGCCAGAGAGTTAGAAACGTCGATGAGAGAGAAACGTCGACCAGCTGCCTCTTGCACCCCCCCCCCCCCCCCACTGGGGATGTGCCCGCAACCAAGGCCCATGCCCTTGACCGGAATCGAACCCGGTTCCCCTCAGTCCGCAGGCCGACGGCTCTATCCACTGAGCCAAACAGGTCCCGGCATGCAAAGTATTTTTTAAAATAAGTAAAACTGTGCAACATTCTCATGGAAGCAGCAGCACGGGGGAAACGGCAATAATACCGAACGCAGACATAAAACCCGAGGAGGCATGATTTCAGACGGAGGTGATGCTCCCCGCCTTTCTGCACGTGGTAAGTCGGAGCCCGGAAACCTGTCAGCCCGCACCATTCTGCCCCGTCATCCCCCCCCCCCCCCCCCACCCAGTCGCCTCTCATCCCTAACCCTCCCCGCGCGCCACTTTCTGGCTGAACTTGCCTCCGCCGTCTCCTTAGAGCCGCGCACCCCAAAGTGCATCAGCCCGCCGGCCCCCCTCCATCCCTCCCTCCCTCCCTCCCTCCCTCCCGCCTCGCTCCCGGCATGTAAAGGGCAACCATTTCCCTCCCGACAGTTCCTGCTGCTAAAATGGAAGCGCCTAGACCCGGGCCCCTTTTGGTCCTCGGAAGCCCCGTGGAGTGTGGATAGGTCCCCCCGTGTTTCCTTCCGGGACCTGAGCCCGCAGACAGCGTCTCCCCGTAACTTCCCACCGGAGCGTCCCGTCCCGTCCCGCCCGCCCGCAGGCCCCGCGGTCCCCGGAGCGGGCTCCACCTCCTCCTCGGGGCCGCGGTCCCTAAAACAGACCCCGGGCCGTCCGGCTTCCTTCCCCGGGGCCGTCTCACCCACCCGGCCCACGCGCTTCCCGAGTTTCCCCCCTCCGATCCCCCCCCCCCCAAGGACCGTGCCCACCCGCCGCCCCTCCGGGAGCCCCGCGTCCCGGCCGGAGCCCCGCTCGCTCGGGGACCTCCCCCCCCCCAAGCCCCCCACTTACTTTGGGCTTCTCGGGCAATTTCTTGCGGTTCTTCTTCTTCTGCTCGTCGCCCCGGAGGCTCTTGAGCAAGGCCAGGTCGTCGGGGGCCGGGGCGGGCGCGGCGGGCGCCTCCTCCCGCCGGCGGGGCGCGCTCCTCCGCTTCCTGCGGGCGCCGGCGCACGCCGCGGCCCAGCCGTAGCCCAGCAGCCCGAGCAGCAGCAGCCCGAGCGCGCCCGTGCCCGCCAGGATCACCCAGCCCGGGTACCGCTTCGGCTCCAGCCCCAGGTCCAGGCCCAGCTCGGTGCGCAGGAAGCCCAGGCCGAGCGACAGCATCTCCCGCAGCCGCGCCGAGCCCTCCTCGGCCTGCCGGGCCAGCTCGTCCTGCCAGCCCCGTGCAGCCATCTTCCCTCCCCGTCAGAGGGGGCTCCTCGAGGGATGGAGGACGCCGGGGCGCACGACGCCGCCGCCCGCCAGGCGAGAGTCAAGGGAAGCGAGACACGGCCGGGCCGACGACGGCCTCAGGCCGAGCGCATCGCAGCCGCCCCTCGCGCCGGAGCCGGCGGCGGATCGGCCGTTGACGCCACCGGGAGGGAAGGTGAAGGGGGCTCCCAACTGCCCCCTCCCCGCGTCAGCTTCGCTCCGCCACCGCCGGCGAGGAGGAGGAGGAGGGGGGGACGGCGGAGGGAGTGTCTCCAGTGGCGGCCGCTAAGCGGCGTCCGGGCGCCAGTGCCAGGCCGGGCTGACCTCCCTCGGAGGAACAATGGCGGCTTCGGCCGCGATCCAGCCGCGCGCGCGCCGGAGCGGCGGGCGAGGGGCGCGGGTCACGTGGGAGGCGGTGGGCGGGACGGTGTGACGCAGGTGTGGGCGGGGCGAGGGCGGCGCGGAAGCCGTTGGGCGAGGGCGGTGTGACGTAGGCGTAGGCGGGGCGACGCGGGTCGGGCCGGGGCGGAAGCCGTTGGGCGAGGGCGCGCCTGTGGCTGTCGGAGGCGGCTCTTTCGGGGCCTGGCGGAGGGAGTCGGGCCCGGGGACCGGTGACGGAGGGGGGCCCGGGAGGGGTTAACTGGAGGAAGCCTTGGCGGGTGGCTGGTGGCTCTGCGCTGGGAGACGTGGCGCTGTGACAGGCCAGGGGGCGGGGCTCCCGGGGAAGGGGGGCGGGGACAAGGGGGAGGGGGAGAGGGAGGGGAGGAGGGTGCAGAGTGAGCTGCTGGGTTGCAGGGTTGCAGGGTTGCAGGGTCTAGGACTCGAGGTCAAAGTCTCCCCAGCAGAGTAGGTTTGCTTCGTTCTGATTCGGGGAGTGGTGCCCTAAAGGGAAATGGATGTTTAATGGATGTTTTCCCTCAGTCACCGGCGGGCTTGCTGCTCCCCAAGGGGCTCTGCGGAGCCTGGGGCCGGGCGCGCAGGACCGGGCCTAGGTTTTAATTCACAAAACGGGTGTTTCTGCTCGGGGCCGGCACCCTGCGGGCTCAGGGCGCTTCCCCGCGTCGTCGTTCTCCTCATTCATTCTCGCTCTGGCTGCTGTTAACTCCCCGAGTTCAAAAGCTCGTGGGCGGCACCGTGTTCCTACTAATTTATAGCTTTAATTAGAAACAAGAGAATCACATTAGATGGTGTTGACACGTAGAAGTAGCTTCCCGGTTGCACCTGAAGCTTCTGTACAAGACCACACAGGAGTTGTAAAAAAAAAAAAAAAATTCTATTTGTATAAGCTGTGTTGAAGGATAAGGAGGAAATGAATTAACCTTTTCAGATTTTAATTACAAAGGTGATGCTTTGGGATTACATTAGGTTTTTTTTTTTAAATTCCATTCAATGATAATTAGCATGTAAAAAGGGTCTTAAGTGAGCTACATAAAATACAGGCTTTCTCAAAGACTAATAAGACCTTGAATGCCAAGAAAATGTAGGAGGAGAGTAGTTTGACCTACTTGGCGAGTGCCGTAATGCGTGTTGTGATTAATGGTGGGGGTTTGGTAAATAAAATAAATTACTGCCCTGGCCGGTGTGGTTCAGTTGATTTGAGTCTCCCATACACCAAAAAGGGTTGACAGTTAGATTCCTGGTCGGGTGCTTGGAGGAGGCAATTGATAGGTGTTTCTCCCTCTCCCTTCCTCTCTCACTGTAAGGTCAATAAAATAAAATTTAAAAACAAACTTTAAAAAATTACTACCAAGTTTTATATAGACTTATATTTAGACTTATATAAGGCCCAAAACTTAGATGTTATCAGGATCTGCTTTAATTCTAACACGCTCCAAATTTTATTTATGCTTATGAAATTAGGTTTGTCAGCCTACATTTACGTTTTGTTTTCAGAGACTGATGCTGTTGCTAAGAAGTTCCAGTGCCCATTTTGTCATTGGGGCAGGGTGTGCGTGTTGGGGGTGGGTAGGGGGAGGGGGTCCTTGCCCTCACCTGTTGCTCGTGGGAGTGGAATTCTTCTATGTCCCAGAAAAAGAATTTTCTGAGGCTTGCAAGGGAGGGTGAAATATTGAAGAAAGCTTTATTTCTGTGAATTATCCCCCTGAGTTTCCACGGCTCCTTCCCTTTGTCCCACCAAGGAAAAAGTGTGCTGTGGCGGGGATAGGGCTGAAACAAAAGCCGGTGTGGGGGCATAGGCCACTCCTGCGTCAGGCTAGAGTAATTTGTGTTCCCAACTGCAGCCCATCGGCCCATTGCATGTGGGGTCTGCATGGCTGTGGGAACCGAGAGAGAGAGAATTCCTTTCGCAGGGGGGTGGGGAACCTTTTTCTGCCAACGGCCATTTGGATATTTATAACATCTTTTGTGGGCCATACAAAATCATCAGCTTAAAAATTAGCCCGCTGTATTTGGTCAAACATTTAATTAATTCGTCCCTAATACTTTGGCAGGGCCAGACGTGGGCCTTTTGTGGCCCATGTGCCAGACGTTCCCCACCTCCGGTTTAGCCGGTTATGTACTCTCAAATTGTAAGAGCTTGCAGTGGTCCATGCCCGTTCTGGCCAAAGATCTCTGTTCCCAAGTGTGACTGACAGACACCTCTGTAGTCACTCGAACTTCACTGAGCATGCGTCTATCTCCCCTTTGTTGGACCTCATCCCCCAGTGTTCTGCAGGGGATGGGCTGGTGGTTCCCTGGGAAGTGCAGAGTTGCAGCTGGAGGGCAATTGGGGGCGATAAGACCTGCAGAGGAGGGAAGTTGAGGGAGACCAGGCCTGCAGGGGAGGGCAGTTGAGGGGGACCGGGCCTGCAGGAGAGGGCAGTTGGGAGCAATCAGGCTGATGGGATTGGGCCTAAACAGGCAGTAGGACATTCCTTAAGGGGTCCCAGATTGGAGAGGATGCAGGCTGGGCTGAGGGATTCCCCCCCCCCCCCCACACACACCAGGCCTCTAGTATTTGATAAAACTACAAGGCATACCTTGGAGATAGTGTAGGTTCAGTTCCACACCCCTGCAAATAAAACTAGCATACCAATAAAGCAAGTCATAGTCTTTTTGCTGCTAGTGGAAGGCAAGATCTTCAATTTGTAAAAATGGCAACATCTGAGAAGCTGCCATAAAGTGACATGCCATAAAATGAGTTGTGCCTGTACATCTAAGGAGCTTTATCTGCACCTGATTCAGATAATGAGATTCTGGGTTTTGGGCAGATGCTGTAGTGAGATGAAGGCCTTCGGAGAGGCTGAATGTGATCTGCATGTGGAAGTGATGTTAATTACTGGGGACCAGAAGGTGGACTATGGTAGGCATTTCCAAGATGGCCCCAAAGACCCCTGCCTTTTGGTATTTATGGCTTTGTGTAATCCCATCCCCTTAAGTAGCTTGCTTCTATGAACCAGTAGAGCTTCACCATTGAGAGAAGTCATTTCTGTGATCAGGTTACAGAAGATTCCGACTTCCATCTGGCTAGCAGACTTCCTCCCTTGAAGGCTTTGATGAAGCAAGTTGCCATGTTGGAGAGACATATGTGACAAGTAACCGAGGGCAGCCGGGCTGGCATGGCTCAGTGGATGGAGCAGCATTCCATGCATCAAGAGGTTGCTGCTTCAATTCCTGATCAGGGCATATGCCCAGATTTTGGACTCAGTCCCTAGGAGGGGGGATGCAGGAGGCAGCTAATTGATGTTTCTCTATGTTCTTTCCCTCTTCTTTCCTCTCTCTCTAAAAAAATAAAAACTATATTTAAGGGGGGAAAAAGCTGAGGGCAGCCAGTGTTTTTCAGTGGTTGAGGACTAGGAGGTCACAGTTAGATTCCCAGTCAGGGCACATGCCTGGGTTATCCATTGTGGGGTGTGCAGGAGGCAGCTGATCAATGATTCTCTCTCATCATTGATGTTTCTATCTCTCTCTCCCTCTCAGAAATCAATAAAGATATATTTTTAAAAAGAATGTTGTATATGTATATGTACAGATATATACATATATATGTAAATTATTCACTGACATGAAAAGCCACTGGTAAGTGAAAAATTATCATGCTTAGTCTTAGTTTATTAAAACTTCAGAATATGTATATTTAGAATATATTTAGAATATGTATATGCATACACAGGGATAGAGACAGGCATCTGGAAAAGTATTCCCCCAAGTTTTTACTCCAGTTTACAAAACCAATAGCCATATAGGAACTAGAATTTTGTTTTCCCCACTTTTAAAATATATTTTATTGATTTTTTTTTTACAGAGAGGAAGAGAGAGGGATAGAGAGTTAGAAACATCGATGAGATAGACATTGATCAGCTGCCTCTTGCACACCCCCTACTGGGGATGTGCCCGCAACCAAGGTACATGCCCTTGATCGGAATTGAACCCGGGACCTTTTAGTCTGCAGGCCAACCTTCTATCTGAGCCAAACCGGTTTCGGCTCCCCCACTTTTTAAATATACTCTTCTGAATTTATTTTATATAAAAATGTATTATCCTTTTAATCAGAATAAAGTAAGGTTGTTTTTTCCTTGTTGAAATTTTACCTACAGAGTAACCTTGCAGCACATTCTATAAGGACGCTCAAACACCACAGAGACAGAATGCACAGCTGTGCCTATTTGCCCCAAAGAAGCTGTTGAATGTTGGTGACATTTTAAGTCTGAACAGTGACTAATGTTACAAGTGAGTTATAAACACTGAATTATACAAAATCATTTCTGTACCAGGTAAAGCTGAAGCTGGGGAACTGTTTTATATATTACACATTCAGACTTCACACAGGAGCAAGGCACCAAAGGAATCTGTTCAGAGAGGCCAACTCTGTCTTCGGAAATACTCTTTTCTTCTTTCTAAAATAAATTTTTAGTACTCCTTTGAAAATTGGAAATAAGCTTATTATAGACCCACAGAAAGGTTTTTCCCCAGAGGATAATCATTTGGGGGCAGTGATATACTGTATGAGTTAGTCCAATTTAAATTTAAAATGCTGTCCTGGG